GGCCTTCGAACCACGAACGAACGAACCACGAAAATAAAAGCTTCGGCGGCCCAGGGGGGCTGCCCTGGGAGGCTCGGGGGCAGGAGGGGTCCAGGGCCCAGGGAAGCAGGGGCAGGCCAGCGGGTGATCCTGGGAGGCCCGGGGGAGGGGGGGGTCCAGGGCCCGAGAGGGCCAGGGAGGACGACGAACCACGAACGAACGAACCACGAAAATAAAGGCTTCGGCGGCCCAGGGGGGCTGCCCTGGGAGGCCCGTGGCAGGCCAGCGGGTGATTCTGGGAGGCTCGGGGGAGGGGGGGGTCCAGGGCCCGAGGTGGCCAGGGAGGACGACGAACCACGAACGAACGAACCACGAAAATAAAGGCTTCGGCGGCCCAGGGGGGCTGCCCTGGGAGGCCCGTGGGAAGGAGGGGTCAGGGCTGAGGCAAGCAGGGGCAGGCCAGCGGGTGATCCTGAGAGGCCCGGGGGAGGGGGGGGTCCAGGGCCCGAGAGGGCCAGGGAGGACGACGAACCACGAACGAACGAACCACGAAAATAAAGGCTTCGGCGGCCCAGGGGGGCTGCCTGGGAGGCCCGTGGGCAGGAGGGGTCCAGGGCCCAGGGAAGCAGGGGCAGGCCAGCGGGTGATTCTGGGAGGCTCGGGGGAGGGGGGGGTCCAGGGCCCGAGGTGGCCAGGACGAACCACGAACGAACGAACCACGAAAATAAAGGCTTCGGCGGCCCAGGGGGGCTGCCCTGGGAGGCTCGGGGGAAGGAGGGGTCGAGGGCTGAGGCAAGCAGGGGGCCAGCTGGGAGGTGAGGGGTCCAGGGCCCTGGGCAAGCAGGGGCAGGCCAGCGGGTGATCCTGGGAGGCCGGGGGAGGGGGGGGTCCAGGGCCCGAGGTGGCCAGGGAGGACGACGAACCACGAACGAACGAACCACGAAAATAAAGGCTTCGGCGGCCCAGGGGGGCTGCCCTGGGAGGCCCGTGGGAAGGAGGGGTCCAGGGCCCAGGCAAGCAGGGGCAGGCCAGCGGGTGATCCTGAGAGGCCCGGGGGAGGGGGGGTCCAGGGCCCGAGGTGGCCAGGGAGGACGACGAACCACGAACGAACGAACCACGAAAATAAAGGCTTCGGCGGCCCAGGGGGGCTGCCCTGGGAGGCCCGTGGGAAGGAGGGGTCGAGGGCTGAGGCAAGCAGGGGCAGGCCAGCGGGTGATTCTGGGAGGCTCGGGGGAGGGGGGGGTCCAGGGCCCGAGGTGGCCAGGGAGGACGACGAACCACGAACGAACGAACCACGAAAATAAAGGCTTCGGCGGCCCAGGGGGGCTGCCCTGGGAGGCCCGGGGGAAGGAGGGGTCGAGGGCTGAGGCAAGCAGGGGCAGGCCAGCGGGTGATCCTGAGTGGCCCGGGGGAGGGGGGGGTCCAGGGCCCGAGAGGGCCAGGGAGGACGACGAACCACGAACGAACGAACCACGAAAATAAAGGCTTCGGCGGCCCAGAGGGGCTGCCCTGGGAGGCCCGTGGGGAGGAGAGGTCCAGGCCCCAGGGAAGCAGGGCAGGCCAGCGGGTGCAGGGCCCGGGGTGGCCAGGGGCAGGCCAGCGGGTAATCCTGGGAGGCTCGGGGGAGGGGGGGGGTCGAGGGCCCGAGAGGGCCAGGGAGGACGACGAACCAAGAACGAACGAACCACGAAAATAAAGATGTCCGAGCTCTAGAGCACAGCTGTGCAAGAGAATAAAGAAACGCGGTCTTAGAGGGTCGCAATTGGGCCTTGGGAGCTCCTGGAGGGTTCCGGATCCCGGAGGGTTCCCAGAGGGTTCCTGGGGTGTGCGAGCGGACTCCAGGAGGTTCATGGAAGGTCCCGCGGCTCCCCGAGGGTTCTGGTAAGGTTGCGGGCCCCCCACGGGGCCTCCTGGAAGGGGCGTGTTTTTATTGCTTGGGGCATAATGGGCACTATGGCCCCCGACCCCCCCTCCCGCCCCCCAAAACGTAACGCCCCTCCCCCCCCAGTGCGCTCCAGACACTGCCGCCGCGCGCGTCGGGCACACGGCGGGGGGGAGGCATTGCATTATACCCCCCCCATATTGTGTTCATTATCACCGTTTTTTAATTAAAAAAGAAGAAGAAAAAACAACAAAAAAAAAACAAAAAAAAACAAACAAACAAAAACAAAAAAAACAAAACAAAAAAAAGAAAGAAAAACAAAAAAAAAAAACGCGCTCAAGGATCCAGGGCCCCTCGGACGGCAGTCCCCCGCAAGGCCTCCCGGAGAGTGGAGCGCTTCTCGGGCGAGGCCCGAACGGTCTCGGGGGGCGCTTCCGAGCCCCCCTCTGAGGGGGTTCTTGGGGTGTGCGAGAGGGCCTTGGGCAGTCTTTGGTGGGTTCCACGGTACTTCCATGGATACTTCTGAAGATACACCGTGGGCGTCCGAAGGATCTTCCCGCGGCCCGTGGGCGCCTGAACCTTCCACCGCCGGATGATGTAGGCAACCCGCACGCTTTTAACAACGTACGAAGGTAAAATTGTGTTTATATAAGACATCTAGTACGTTGTGATGTATAACTTGCCCGCACGGGGGTAAACGACCAGCTCTTAGCAGGGCTTGTGGGCCGGAGTAAGATGTTATCGAACTTGGTGTTCGGTACGAAAACACGCGAGCGAGTTAGCAATCCTGGCGACCTGGCCAAAGTGGCAGCATCAAAGCATATGGTTCGACTGCTGAAGAAATCATCATCCACTGCATTAGTGTGCTGCCCGGCCCGCAGCGTCTGCGAACGGCTATTGGAGTCGTGCGTTTTTCGCGGTACGTTTTTGTTGGGGTCGCTTCGGCCACTTGATCTATTTTGCCAGTGCCCAGTGGGTTCCTCCTCCTCCTCCTCCTCCTCCTCCTCCTCCTCCTCCTCCTCCTCCTCCTCCTCTTGTTCCTTTTCTTCCTCCTGCTCCTCCTCCTCGTCCTCCTCCTCCTCCTCCTCCCCATCCTCCTCCTCCTCCTCCTCCTCTTTTTCCTTCTCCTCCTCCTCCTCCTCCTCCTCTTTTTCCTTCTCCTCCTCCTCCTCTTTTTCCTTATCCTTCTTCTTCTCCTCCTCCTCCTCCTCCTACTCCGACCCACCCGAGGAAACGGCTCATCTGCACGTCCACCTCAGCGACCACTCCAGCGGCTGAGGAATACAGTATCTCTCTATTTCACTTCGTTCTGTGTCCAGCACCAGCGGTCGTGGGTAAACTGGGACACTTCCAGTGCACGGATTCAGAACTGACGACAATGTTGCTAGGCCAAGGTCGCGCGCCGACCACTCGGTGGCGGCCATGCGCGTGCTTGCGCGGAAGTTGAAAGTACATGGAACGTTGCCACATCTAACGGTGGCTCCGTCGTTCATTCATACAGCGCGCGCTGTCTTGCGCTTCCGTGCGTTTGCGAACGAAAACCCAAGGGCGCGGAGCCCGGTCACGGGGCAGTTCATGGGAGTGAAGTTCCGAGCCCAGGGAGGAGGAGGAGGAGGAGGAGGAGGAGGAGGAGGAGGAGGAGAAGAAGTAGGAGGAGGATGCCGTCCACGTCACCCGCGTCCTTGCAGTCAGCGTCGAAAACCACCTCGTCGGCCATGGTCCGACCCTGGCACGCCGTCTAGTCAAACACCTTGCACCGGGAGACGGAAAAGCCGCGAGCCAATGATTTCGCGCCGCCCCAGGTAGCATGGCAGCTTATATGCCCAGACCGCCAAGCGCAAACCACGGTTATCTCCCGCGGTCCTTCGGGTGGCAGTGGCATGGCTCCTCCTGGTCGCCGTCGTCCTCCTGGTGCGCTCCCCTCCATGTCCTCTTGGTCATGAACTTTGGCCTCAACAGCACCACATGTTCTAACCAGTGTGTTCTCCCTGCTTGACTGTTCCATGCCGTGCTGTGCCCGTCCTTTCACGCCTCCGCCCCTCTCGTCCCCCTATTCCGCCGCCCGCCTCTACGGCGCGCCGGGGGCTTTCTCCCAATCATACCGCCCCGCCTCCTGTGCGGGGCGGGAGCGGGGGAGGGGTAGGGCGACGAGGAGAAGGAGGTTCGGGGGTGCGTGGGCCGATGTTGGTTCTGCTTTCAGCTTTGGGGGGGCTCCCGATGGCCTCTGGGGACCTCTGGGGACTTCCAGAGACGATGAGGCACGGTGGGGAGGAGGAGGAGGAGGAGGAGGAGGAGGACCAGTGTAAACCCAAGAGTCATCAACGATGTTGGAATAATTCCTCCCTCCGAGCTCCCTCTTCATAGGCTCCATACGAAGGTTAATTTCCACTGGGAGCTCCCTCGTTGGAAGACCACCGTTGTAAGACCCTGAAGCATGCCAAAACATTGTTCTCGGGGTTACAACGCCACGGATCAACCTGAATGTTCCGTCTTGACGATCCTGAATCGTTCCAGGGCGCTGTTATTGGGGCTTCAACACCGCAAATCAACGTAATTGTTGCACCCTCATTGTCATGAATCTGTCCAAAACACCGTTTCTGGTACGCTGATCATGGGAATCCGCGAAGTTCTTGTAATTCTTTAATATAAAACGAAAATGTGCGGCGCTAAAGCGAGAGACACATTTTGAAAAGGAGCCGCCCTCAATCCGTGAACTTCTTGTAAATGTTGAAAGCGAATGTGCGCGGCGCTGAGGCGAGAGTCACATTTTGAAAAGGAACCGCCCTCAATCCATGAAGCTCTTGCAACTGTTTTAAACGAATTTGCGCGGCGATAAGGCGAGAGCCACATGTTGAAAACCATTCGCTTAGAACCCGCGAAAACCTTGCAAATGTTAAACCGAATACCGAATGCGCGCGGCGCTGAATCGAGAGCCCCATTTAAAAAACGACCCGCCCTCCATCTGCGAAACTGCTGCCAATGTTTAAGCTTCCGGGTCATAAATGGTGAGGAGGTCCCAGGCGAAACGACCGGCCCGCCCTAAAAACGGGCCTCGGGCTGCGACAGGGGGAGGAGGAGGCGGAGGAGGAGGAGGAGAAGGATGAGGGAGAAGGAAAGGGAGTGAGGAGGATTGAGGCCGAGGAGGAGGACTGAGGAGAAGCCTTCGGCCTTGCCCCCCTCGCCGTCTCCATTTCATTTCCGTGGCCGCTTGGGCGCAGAGGAGCCAGCAACAGCTGGTTCCACACTACCTTCCGCGCTCACAGTTGGCATGCGCCATCTTCTTTCATACAAGTGAGACGCGCTTCCGACGTGATGAGCCTGTTCACCGCAATCCTCGCGAGCACCCTGCTCCTCCCCGGCGAGGCCCTGAAGGTCGCGGTCGGCAGCGAGCTGGGGGCCTCGGGGATGGCGGTCACGCAGGTGAGGGCCGGGGCCTCGTCGGGCGCAAAGGTGGAGGCGAACATGAAGCTGGGCGTCATGAGCCGGGCGGGCGTTACGAGGTTCGGGCGGGTGGTAATTCAAGCAGTGGCGAAGCGTCCTGGCGTGCCTATAGCCCTACCAAACAATGTTCTAAGAACCTTTTGTGGTTTCCACGACATGTTCTTAGAACATTTCTGGCGGAGTCTGTCTTGTTTTATCACATCGGGTTTATGTTCTAATAAAGGGGCCGGGCTGTGTAAACCGCCCCGGGCGGTTCCCCCAGGATCCCTGGGAGCGGTTCCCCCAGTCCCCTGGGAGCTTTAGCTTTACCTTTAGCTTAGCTTTAGTTTTAGCTTAACTTCAACTTAGCGTTAGCTAAGCTTTAGTTTAGTTGTAGCTCAGCTTTAGCTTAGCTTTAGCTTCGCTTTAGCTTAGCTTTAGCTTAGCTGGAGCTTAGCTTCAGCTTAGCTTTGCCTTAGTTTTAGTTTAACTTTAGCTTAGATGTACCTTAGTTGTACCTGAGCTTTACCTTAGCTTTAGCTTAGCTTTAGCTTAGCGTTAGCTTAGCTTTAGCTTAGTTTCAGCTTAGTTGTAGCTTAGCTTTAGCTTAGCTTTAGCCTAGCTTTAGTTTAGCTGTAGTTTAGCTTTAGCTTAGCTTTAGCTTAGCTTTACTGTTGCTACTAATGCTGCTTTCCTAGGGGCTCCAACTCCTAGGCAGGGTCGCACTTGGGATAATCTTGCTTTATCACATCGGGTTTATGTTCTAAAAACAGTGTTCCCTACCTAGGCTCTGCCTAGAAGGGTTCTTACTCTCTGAGCTTAAAGGGGCCGGGCTGTGTAAACCGCCCCGGGCGGTTCCCCCAGGATCCCTGGGAGCGGTTCTCCCAGTCCCCTGGGAGCTTTAGCTTTAGCTTTAGCTTAGCTTTAGCTTTGGCTTAGCTTTCGCTTAGCTTTAGCTTAGCTTTAGCTTAGCTTTAGCTTAGCTGTAGCTTAGCTTTACCTTAGCTTTAGCTTAGCTTTAGCTTTAGCTTAGATTTAGCTTAGCTTTAGCTTGGCGTTAGCTTAGCTTTAGATTCGTTTCAGCTTAGTTCCAGCTTAGTTTTAGCTTAGCTGTAGCCTAGCTTTAGCTTAGCTTTAGCTTAGCTTTAACTTAGATTTAGCTTAGCTTTAGCTGAGCTTCAGCTTAGCTGTAGCTTATATTCAGCTTAGCTTTAGCTTAGCGTTAACTTAGCTTTATATTTAGGTTCAGCTTAGTTCCAGCTTAGTGTTAGCTTAGCTTTAGCTTAGATTTAGCCGAGCTGTAGCTTAGACTTAGCTTAGCTTTAGCTTAGCTTTAGCTCAGCTGTAGCTTAGCTTTAGCTTAGCTTTAGCTTAGCTTTAGCTTAGCTTTAGCTTAGCTTTAGCTTAGCTTTACTGTTACTACTAATGCTGCTGTCCTAGGTGGTCCAACTCCTAGGTAGGGTCGCACTGGGATCATTTTTGTTCTTAGAACATTCTTGGGTTCTAAGAACATTTCGTGGTAGGACTATAGGAATGCCTGGATGGTCGGCCCTGATGGGAGGGGAAGAAAAGGGCCCCAGAGGGGCCCTTCACAGGCCCCTTCTCGGGGGCCCCTGCTGGCTCCAGAGGGGACCTGCGGGGGCCCCTCCGTGGGGTCCTTTGCTCGAAGAAGAGAAGGAGCGCCAGAGGCAGAAGCCTGTGGCGCTCCGCGCGGAGTTTTCGAATCCGCGCTGGGCACCCCCAGCGGCGCCTCCGGCGCCGCCCCTGGCGCGCCGGAGGCGCGCCAGGGAGGGGGTCCAGCGCGGATCCAAGACATCCGCGCGGAGCGCCACAAGCTTCTGCCTCTGGCGCCTTTCCTCCTGCTGTCCCCCCCCCCACGGGGGCCCCCCCCCGCCCGCCCACCCGCCCCGAGAGGTACAGCCACAAGAGGATCCGGGCCCTCCGGAGCAGCAACGAGTTCTACTGGGCGAGCGCGGGCGGCAGGCACGGCAGGTTCGGCAGCTCGGTGTTCAACGGCCCCACGGACTTCAACAACAACATCCGAGGGGCCGATTTTCCATCACCGCTACCATGGGCAGGAGAGGGAGGGGGAGGAGGAGGAGGAGGAGGAGGAGGAGGAGGAGGAGGAGGAGGAGGAGGAGGAGGAGGAGGAGGAGGAGGAGGGGGAGGAGGATTGAAAAAGAGGAGGAGGAGGAGGAGGAGGACCTCCCCATCCTCCCTTCTCCCCCGTCCTACATCTTGTAGTGGGGGTGGAAAACTGGCCCGTCAGCATCTCCTGGGCCTGGCACCACCCCAACGGCGTCCACAACACCATCCCGGTGGGCCTGCGGCAGGCTGTGCCTCGCCACGGACCCCGATCGCAGAAGCCCCCACGAGGCCTCACGGAGGCCCCCCTGGAGGCCCCCGGGAGGCGCCTCCCCGAGATCCGGGCCTTGTCATTTTCTCACGCCGTGCGTTTTCGCTCGGCTTCGAACCCAGGGCGCCATCACAGATCAATCCGGCGCGGAACATGCAGCAGAGGGATGGTGTCCAGGGCTCTGGTCGCGGTTTTTTACGATGTTGCGTTTCGTGCGACGCCAGATCTTAGGCCTCAGGTTCCTGGCGGCTCAGAAATCAGACGTTGATCGATGACCCCCCACCCTCCCAAGCCCAGTAGCACAGTGCAACTTCCTCGTCCTCGAGAGGGCGTTGCAGCCGCAATTGTTGCTGGCCTGCGCCCGCTGGATCTGGCCCCAGGGGTTCTGTCCACCCAGAAAAACAAACAACAATACATTCAAACCGTTTCCCAAAAATTGGGGGGGGAGTCCCCCAAAAAACCGAGGGGTGCGGGGACAAACAAATTCCGTCCTCAGGTGAGCTACGGAAGAAAACAGGGTCGATTGCACGGACATTCGCGCGCAGGCTGCCCGCGTAAGATGGCGCGTCGGCGCCCTCGTTTCCAATCCAGCGTGCCGCACTGGCGGCCTGCGTGAGCCACCGTGCAAGTTCGCTGTGTCGTCGTGCGGATGGCCCGTTTCTTCTCCTCGTTCAGGTGGGAGGGCCGCTCATCGACGATCAGATGAACATCTACGTGGCATCCGACGACGCCGTCCGCAAGTTCGACACCCTCGGTAGCCTTCTCTGGACCTACGGCCCCCGCGGCCAGATGGCCAGCGCGCCCTGCCTGTCCATGGTGATCGACGGCACCCTGAACGCCAGCGTCCGCCACGCCATGCGTCGCGCCAACGGGAGGGAGAGCAAGCTCCTGAAGATCGGCGACCACGTCGAGGTTCGAAGGAGGAAAATACCGCCCACCAACCCACCCCAACCCAAGCCGAAGGCCCCGATCTGCCCTCCATTTCCAGTGGGGGGGGGGTCGGAGAACATTGAAAAATCACGTGTGCAACCCGTACCCCCCAGAACCCGAAATTCGGGCCTTTGGGTCAGATTGGGGTGGTCTGGTAGGCAGTCAGAAAGAGCTGCGTAAACATAAACTGTCCGCGCTCCGTGCTGGTCTCTCGGGTCGGTGTTCGGCCCCCCCATGACGGCGCATTTGGCGCCGCCCCGGGCTCGCTTCGCGCGCCTGGGATTGGGGGCCCAGCGCGGATTTCCAACATCCGCCCGGAGTTTTCAAACCTTGTTAGTACGTATGCAGGTTGTTTCCCTACCTAGGCTCTGCCTAGAAGGGTTCTTACTGTGTGTGCTTAAAGGGCCGGGCAGTGTTCCACGCCCCGGGCGGTTCCCCCAGGATCCGCCCAGCGGTTCCCCTTGTGACGTTCCCTTAGTTTAGCGTTGCTTATCTCATCTTAGCTTATATTATGTCGTCTTAGCTTAGCTTAGCTTCAGCTTAGCTCAGGTTTATCTTAGCCTAGCTTATCTTCATCTTAGCTTCGCTGAGCTTTAGCATAGCAGAGCACAGCATAGCATAGCATAGCGTAGCACAGCATAGCGCAGCACAGCACAACATAGCATAGCATAGCATAGCATAGCGCAGCATAGCATAGCATAGCACAGTATAGCGCAGCACAGCACAGCACAGTATAGCGCAGCACAGCACAGCACAGCATAGCACAGCGCAGCATAGCATAGCAGAGCAGAGCATAGCATAGCACAGCAGCAAAGCAAAGGCAAAGCAACAGCAGCGACAGCAAAGCAAAGCACAAGCAACGCAACGCAAAGCAAAGCAAAGCAAAAGCAAAAGCAAAAGCAAAGCAAAGCAAAAGCAAAAGCAAAAGCAATGTGCGACAGATGTCGAGCTAGCCTCGATGGCCGGACCGGAGCCCCCGCAAGCAGTGCCTTCCGTAACCATTTCGGTGCAGATGCTGATGTAGCTGTCGGTTTAGACATAGATATTGTTTTCCTAGATGCTCCAACTCCTGGGTAGGGTCGCACTGGGATGATTATCCTCGGCAGGTGCTCCCGGGCAAGGGGTACCACGCCAAGGGGAAAGAGTACTACAGGCCTGGCGACGTGGGCGAGGTCAGCAAGATCGTTGCCAGCCAGACTGGCGAGCCAAGAGCGATCATCAAATGGCCCCGCACGGGGCATGCCAGCAGCGCGCTGCTCGCCACCTGGGATCAGAAGTTCACCCGGGCGAAGGACGGGCGACAGCAGGAGATTCCTGCGCTCTTCGGGTCCACCGTCACAGGCTACGCGTTTGCCATCGACCTGGAGACGGGCGACGAACTGTGGGCGACTAAGATGTCTGCCGAGATCGCCGGTGTCAAGGGGGCCGTGGCCGTCAGGGACAATGTCTTTGTAGCGGCCAGCGATAAGTGCCACAACCGTTACTGCTACCGGTACCGCAACGAGAGCCTTGCCGATAGTTTTGCGAATTCGAACCGTGTGATTAGGGGGCTCAACAGCGTGACGGGCGCTGGCATGTGGTCATACACGCCTGACCATCCAGTCTGGAACATGGACCCACAGCTCACCTCATGGGGGGGAGTGCTCTTCCAGGATTTTGAGGGCGGAGTCTATTGCCTCAACCTGACCACAGGGGAGCTTTTGTGGAAGCATGAAGGGGTGATGGGCATGTACACACAGTCGGCAGCCCTTTTCAGTGAAGAGCTGAACTACGTATACTCAATCACTGAGAGCCTCTACGATAGCAGGTGGTGCAACCCATACACACCGCCAGGGATCCTCATCTGGTGCAACTCAGTGCAGGATACTCCTGGACTCGTCCGAGGCTTCCATGCAGAGACTGGCGTGAAGATGTTCGAGACGACGCTCCCGATGCCACCCGCTGGGGCCAGCATCGGCAGGCTCAACAGCGGCGATGACAGAGTACACTTGGTGGTCGGCCTTGGGCTCAGCTGCAAGTACCGGGGCACGTTTGGTGACATCAGCAAGCCGTCAGAATTGTGGGCTCTGAGTGGACGGTGGGGGGGCAAGCTGTGGAAGAGGACCGGCCCCACCCTGTGGACTACTGATTGTGCAGGCGACAAGGAGGCCGCAGACATCCGCCGGGCGATGAACACCCGCGACAAGTGCCAGCCGAACAGCTGGTCGAATCCGGTGATCGATGCCAGTGGGGACGTCTACGTCGGGAACCACGTCGGGGTCCTGCAGAGGTGGGGCTCCCCGGACGATGCCCTGTACACCGTGGATCTCCTCTCTACTTTGGAGACTTCCGCCGCGTTCACGGCCCCCTGGTGCCCGAAAGTTGCCAAGAGTACACCTCAGGCGATGCTTAAGAAAACCTAAGTTTTCGGCCAGAGTCTCGATTATTCGTAAGGTTTCAATGTAAATCCCAAGATTTTGATAGAAGTTCTGGGTTTTTATTCCATTTCTGAGACTATGAATTTCTTAACCCATGATTTCTTAAGCACTTCGCAGGGTGTACTCAGGGCGCTCCGAGGTCCGCTCGGAGCTCTTGGCCCGGTGTTGGGCCCCCTCCCCGCAGCCCCTCCTCAGCGCGCCGGCGGCGCCGCCAGTGAATATCGTTTAAACGATCCCCATCCCCAGCGGCGTGGCCTGGGCCCAACTGGCCGATTTACCCCCCTAGATGGGGATATAGGCCGTTCCCTTCGGGTTTCGAGGGGTGTATCCCCAACTGGGGGGGTAATTTGGTGGGGGTCTCGAAGGGGACGAGGATGGGGATGGGGATTGGTTAAACGATACCTAGCCAGGGGATGCGGGGCGGAGGGCCCAGTCTCCGCCCTGAGAGAGAGCTGCGGCGGGCCTCGGGGCGTTCCTGAGTCTGCGGTTCTCCCGGCTCCTGGCCAGGATCAGAGCATCGCGATGGCACCCGGGATGATGGCCGTGAGCACGTGCAACTCGCTCATCGTCATCTCGACCTGAGGCTGTCCAGGCTGCCGCGAGCAAGCGCCACCGGGCGCCGATGGTTTGTTCGAGGCCCTCCTCCGCGTCCTCCGCGTCGTCCTCCCCATCCCCAGCCATCCGCAGCCTGCTCTCCCCCCCTCTCTCGGAGGAGGCGCTGCCCGTCCCTCGTGCTGCACGCAGGGGGCCTCCTGGGGAGCCCTCGGCGCCACGGCCGAGCTCGCTTCGGAAAATCCTGCTCAGAAGGCAGCCCTGGAGAGGTCCGGGGAGTAGCAGTATGGGGTATCGGTTGGTTCCTCGGGTGCCCTTCCCCATCTGTGGTTCTGGTTTGCCCCCCCTGGTCCTCGTCTCGCTCCGCCCGTCCCTCCCTCCTGCTCCGTCTCTTCCTCCCGTTCGTCTCGATGTCCTTTCCCTCATCGAAGGTTCCATCGGGCCTCAGAGGTCCGCCTGGGTGCGGAACACATATCTGCCAGCGCTGGCTCCAAATGACAGTCGTACAAGTAGTTGAGCAAATTATGCAATTCAACCTACGCGTGTTTCGGCGACGCTGATCTGTTGTACTCTTAATATGTGTTCAGTTACACTATTGTGCCAAACCCCCTACCCTATGTTCTGGCACTCTTAGATGTGTCAATCGAGAATACTCCAGCCCATTTCACTACTCTATCGTATATCGCAATGTGCTCCACGGCGTTATGCTCCAATCGGCCCCATCCTATGCCATTGCACATTTCCTGCTCGAGTATAGTCGATCATACGTCCAACTGTTTCCGTGGAGGGCAGGCCGTTCTCAAATTGCGGTTGTACCATTGCAGCGCGGTGCATATTTGTGTGAAGGGATTCAACGCTTGCTCGGACGGAGGGCGGTTCGTTTTCAGAATTTGGCTCTGGCTGGTGCGCGGCGCGCATTCGCCATGATCTGCTCCCAACGGATACGGGGATGGAGGGCATTTCGTTTTCAGCTTGCGACTCTCGTTTTAGCGCGGCTCAAGTCCGTGACATTTTTCCAGCAGCTATCAGGGTGGCGTTTTGCTTTATTGCCGCTGTTATCGTCGTGCCACGCACATTAGTTTCATACGTTTTCAACTACTGCGGGGCTGCGGGGATGGAGGTCGGTTATTTTTAATGGTGGGGGTCTCGCGTGATTGAGACCTCGTAGACCAATCGTCAAAGATGTAAGCGGTTGATTATCCAAATAGGCTTGCCCTATAGGAGTTCTAACTCAAACCCTACCAGTTGGTTCTTTACCCGCCTAATTCCTATGCCCCCCCTAATTCCTATGGCTATGCTTATTCCAATGACACCCCCCCTATTTCCAATGGCACCCCCCAGCTATTCCCAATGGCGAGTCCTATGGATTCCTACGGATTCCTATGAGTCGTATGGTGTTTGCTTGCTCTTGCTTGCTTGCTTGCACTTGCTTGCACTTGCTTGCTTGCTTGCTTGCTTGCTCTTGCGTGCTTGCTCTCGCTTGCTTGCTCTTGCTTGCCCTTGCTTGCGTGCACTTGATCTCTGGCTCTTGCTTTCTTGTTATTGCTCGCTTGCGCTTGCTTGCTTTTGCTTGCTTGCTTGCTTGCGCTTGCTTGATTTTGCTCCTCCCGTCCTCCTCCCGTCCTGCTCCCGCCCTCCTTTCGTTCTCCTCCCATCTCCTCTCGTCCTCCTCCTGTCCTCCTATCTATTTGGAGTCAACGCTGGCTGCTATACAACTACACGGGCTGCGGACAGCGATTCCCACCGTGAGGATCTCTAGTGATACGTCTTCGAGAATAAGACATTGATTGGGGAGCTGCTGTCATTGGTCTCGGCCGGCTCACCGTTGCGCTCGCGTCCCTGCATGCTTTGAGATTGCCCTGTCGGTCATGTGGGAGGGCGCGCTGGGCAGCTCCTTTTTGCAAGACGGGGCTCGCACTCGACTGGCAGGCGCACGGAGCGCTCGCCTTTCGAGGTCGCACTCCTCGCAGCGCGGAGTAACCGGTGCTTGGCATCGCTCGGACGCGTGCATTATTCCCTCGGCAAGGATCATCGAGGAGCATCCTTGATCATTGAGCGAAAAAAACACACGCACGAAATCGAAAAATGCATGGGGAATGGACGTCCGAGCGATGGCGAGTGGAGAGATGCACCAGGAGGGGATGGGGGTGGGACTTTCGGTAGGTGGATCTCTCAAGCTTTCCGCCGCCTCTGGCGGTGTGCGCTGCGAGCAGGAACGCAGCAGAGCCACCGGAAGGCGCCGCATTGACAGTGTAGCTGCGCACACGTGGCAAATGTTAACGAGCAGGAACACAGCAAAGCCCCAGGAGGGGACGGAGGTGGGAGGGATCATCTCAGCATCCTTGATACATCCTGGGCTGACACTGGTCGGGTTCTCCCCCATGCGTTCCCTCCTCCTCCTCCTCCTCGTGCCTGCAGCCCCTTCTCGCGCTGTGCATCCCCTTATGTGTGTCGAGAAGACTGATAGCCACACTGGTGGCGTCCCCGCGACGCTCCGCCCGCCTCGGCACGGGCGTCTGCGGCTGCCCCTTCACCTTGGTCGTTGGAAAAAGTCGCCTGCCTCTCTCTGCTCCTCCTCCTCCTCCTCCTCCTCCTCCTCCTCCTCCTCCTCCTCCTCCTCCTCCTCCTCCTCCTCCTCCTCCCCCTGCTGTGCCCCATGAGGTGGTAGGTGCGAAGGGGCGCAGGCCGAGGGTGCAGAGCGGCAGGGTCACGCGCGTGCACCCCTTTTCCGACGGCCCAGCAGTGCGAGGGCAGTGGCTCCCGCACCGGCGGGCCAGGCTGCGGTGAGAACCTCGAGCCCCCTCGCCCACTTCTTCCAGAGCCACGCAAGGGGGGCACTCCATCTAGGCTGGGGGCACGATTTGACTCTGCACAGCATGAGCACCGAGAGACGTTGGCCCCCGCAGCTCTCCATCCATCCATCCATCCATCCCAGGGTCTCCTCTCTCCTCCCCCTCTGCTCCATCCTATCCCCCACCCACATCCCTCTCCTCGTTTCTTCGTGCCCCCCTCCCGTGTCCCTCCTCCTGCTCCCTCCTCGCATGTCCCTCCCCCCTCCTGCCTCTCCTCCTCTTCCTCCGCCCCTCCCCCCCCGCACTTCCACTCCTCGTCGTCCTGCCTCCCGCTTTTCCTCATCCTCTGACCCGAGCTGGTGGTTTGGCCCATGCGGCCCAGTAGCGCTGCTGGGCGAGCGTCTGACTCGAGTTCGTGGCTGGCCGGCGGGTCTCGGTGCAGTCGGGCTCCACCACGTCCCCCTCCCCCCTTTCTATCTGTTCCTCTCTTCCCCGTCTTTCTTCTTCCTCCTCCCTCCACTGTCCTCCCTTTCTCGCTTTTTTGTTTTTCTCTCTCTGTCTCTCTCTCCGCCTCTCCCTTCCTCCTTCCCCACACCTCCACTTTGGAGAGGCCAACAATAATTCATCATCATCACCACCATCACCGGCATCAGCATCAGCATCACCATCATCATCTTGTTCATCATCATCACCACCACCATCAGCAGCATCATCATCAACATCAGCATCATCATCATCGTCATCATCGTCATCATCGCCATCGCCATTATCATCGTCATCGTCATCGTCACCACCAACATGATAGGCTGGGTCATCAGTATCGCCATTCTCTTCGTCATCATCATGATAGTCGTCGTCGTCACCGCCATCGTCACCATTTCTTCCGCATGATCCCCTCATCCTCCTTTCCGTCAATCGTTGTCTTCGGTGCTCTATTCTCCTCCACATCATCCTCTATCATCATCTTGCTCCCCTTCACCTCCTCTTCCTCCTTTGTTTTCTCCCTATCCACCTTTCTGTATCCCTCTTCTCTCTCTGCCTCTCTCTCTCTGTCCGTCTCTGTCTCTCTCCTCTCTCTCTCTCTCTCTTTCTCTTTCTATATGTAGATCTATAGATATATTCCTTCTACCTATCAAATTACAAGGAAAAACCCGGCATGTCACCGACACACCCCCCCACATGGACCCCAGATGAACCCCACAGGCCCCCAAGAGAGCCCCACAATGCTTCGAGGCGGCCCAAAGTACCCCGAAGAGAGCGACACGAGGCCTACATCGGGAGCCCAAGACAGCAGAAAACACTTCCGAGACGTCCTCTGCAAGGCCCACGAGGCCCCAAGACGGCCCCAGAGTGCTCCAACAGGACCAAACATGGGCTCAAGACGGCCCAGGATGCCCCCGCAAAGACCTCCAATACGGCCTCAGCAAGCCAAAAACTTTAATTTTCCATTGGTTTTTGAACGACTCTGTGCTTCTCGCCTTTTCTGGCCACGAACGGCCCAAGAATGGTCTGCGAGCTTCCGAGGTCGCCCCGAGATGGCCTCCAGGCGGCCCAATGGAGCCCCAAGATGGGCCAATAAAGCGCCAAGAAAGCCAGGGAGCGCCCAAAAGACCCCTAAAAGACTTCCAAGAGGGCCCCAACAGAGCCACGGGATGCTTCAGAGAGAGCCCGAGAGAGCCCCAACACGGCCCCAGGACGGCCCAAGCCCCCCCAGACAGCCCACGAGGGCCCCAGGACAGCCCAAGAAGGCCCTCCGATGGTTTACAAAAGCACCAACAGGAGCTCCACTCAGTCTTAGAGCCGTCAAATTCATTACACTCTGATTGACCTGAGCCGTCGTCCTTGGCTCGGCTGGCCCGCGCGCCGAATGGGCCCGCGTGGCAGAGAAGGAAAAGGAGCAGGAGGCGGGACGGAGGAGAAAAAGGAGGAAGAGGAAGGAACGGTGAGGATTGCGAAAAACAGGAGGGGCCCCAGGAAGACGGAAGGAGGGCACGGAGGAGCAGGAGGAGGGGAGGGCAAACGGCGGAAACAGAAGACAGCTTTCACTGGGCCCCGTGCTCTCGCCGATGCGCCGGCCACATCTCTCATTCAATATCGTGTGTCCGCTTCGCTCGCGGGACTCCCAGCCTCTACCAGGTCAGCATCCCGTCCTCCAGCATGTGGCCGCCGACTTTCCTCTCAATTCTTGACGCTTCGCGTATCCCCACCAGCGCGGTGCACTCCCAAGCGACCACGTGTTTCTACCGTGTGGCTTCGTGCACTCTGCTGTGATCTGACCAGATCGCTGGTCCATGGGCTCAGGCGCATCTCAGTTGTGGAAGGTTCTCCCGCTGGCGACTTCGGTTCCACTCCCTGGATGCGTGTTCTGACGTCGCGACGGTTCGCTGGCGCCGTCAGAGATTTTCCCCGCTGGACTGCGTCACCAGTCAGTCTGTCCCTACCCGTCAGACTCCTTGGATAGACGTCCCGCTCGGAATCGTTCCCCGCCCGTTCGTTCTCGTTCTGTCGGGAACGCTTGCGCGCCATTTGGGCTGCGCTCGGCTTTCCTCGGTGGCTGTACTCAGACTCCCTGGATGTGCCGTTGCATCAGGGGCTCCCCTGCAGACTCCCTGGATCTGCACGCTTGGCTCAGACGCCCTGGGTCGCTGCTGCTTGCCGCCTGACCGCGGCCCCGCGCGCGCCCGCCCCCTTGTCGCGGCCGCAGCCCGACCGTGACCGCCCGCCGCTGGCGCTTCCGCCTGCGGCTGTAAAAAAGTATCCCCACCAGCCCGTCCAGAATTGATTGCCAGCTTTCCCGAGGCCTGTTGGAGGCTATCCTGAGCCATGCTCGGCTAGAGGCTGTCGGAAGCTATTCTGAGCCATGCTCGGCTATGTCGGGCCATATTCAGGTTGTCTTGAGGCCTCTTGGAGATCTGTCGGAGGCTGTCTTGAGCCATGCTTGGCTATCTTGGGCCATTTTGGAGGCCATCTTGGGTTATCTAGGGCCCTCTTGGAGCCATCTTGGGCCAAAAAGGGCGGGGAGGCTGGGAGGCCTCTCGGGGCCGTCGTGGGCCCCATTGTTCAAAAAGAGCGGGGGTCCTCAATTCAGGTCTCTCCCTCGGAGGCTCTCAAACGGCGTCTTGGGGACGTGTTGGAGCGCTCTTTGGAAGCCTCTTGGGCGATCTTGGGGCCGTCTTGGGCCTTCTTGGGCCCCTCTTGGGGCTCTCTTGGGCCATCTTGGGGCCATCTTGATGCCTCAGGGGCCCATCGGAAGCGAAAAGACGAGAATGCCAAACACATTTACTTTCCTTAGGCTTTGAAGGGTTTTGGCTTCTTGGAGGGCGCCGTGGAGGGCTCGAAGGGCACTTGGATCCGTCTTGAGGACTCTTGGAGGTGTGTCGGAGGCTATCTGGACCCATCTTGAGGTATCTTGGGCCATCTTGGAGGCCATCTTGCGACTTGGAGCGCCTCTTGGGAGCCATCTTGAGCCATCTTGGACGCTCTAACGCCTCCATCCCCCCCCTTCCAGGTCCAGGGGAAGGTTACCCCTCCCCCGAGCAGGGGAAGGAAGGGGAAGAGAGAAGACCAAACTCGCTATACCACCGTAGCCCTAAATGGCTGGTGGGACTTCCACCTATAGACTTCCAGCCTCCATCAGCTCAGCACTCCGACCTCTAGCGTCCGGCATCCGACTTTCCACCTTCACCTCCACTCAAGCGTCCACCAACGCTGCGCCCTGAGCCCCGCCCCGGGCGCTACCGCGCACTCGCCTCGCCTCGTCTCCGCTCGCACAATTTCCACACACCTCATTGAACAATTGTGTTCTCGCCCGCGCCCAGAAATATTGTAGGTGCAAGGATCAAGAGTAGAAGGCGAAGCGCAGCGAGCCTTAAAATCTTGTGTATATATATATATATATAAATATACACATATGTATCAGAGTGAGAGGGCCGAACGGTCATTCATTGTCCCTGCGTGCGTGGCTGAATAGGGGATTTGTGGTGAGAATTCTGTTTGTTGCGTTGTTGAATTTTCGTTTCTGAAGAATAATTATTGTTGATCCCCCCCCACCGGTGCATACTGATTTTCCTCCATCAAAGTGTGCCCCTCGACGCTCGCACGTTGTTGGAGTCGCGCCCGTTGTGGCCCCATGTGCATGCCCTTCGTGGCCCCGCTGTCGCCATTTGTGTCCCCCTCACTGTCCTACGTGGCCCAGTTGCTACCCTCAGTGGCCCCATAGTTGCCTTCTGTGGC